GCTGGCGCTCTGATAGCTAATTCAATTGTGCCATTGTCATGTGACAGATTTACTAACACGAATTAAAACTTATCAAATCTGTGTATCCAAGGTTGAGTGCAGTTCCTGCCAAGCGGTGCGATTACAGGTGCAGCTCAGAAAATGGGAATTATTGTGAAAAAGTTTAATATTTTCTATCAGTTATGTAAAAAAAAGTAAAAATTGTGTATATTCTAGACTTATTACATGCAAAGTGAAACATTTCAAGTCTTTCTTTTGGGGTTGAATTTGAGGATTATGACTTATAGCGCAAGAAAATAAGAAATCCAGTATCTCAAAATGTTAGAATAGTTTATTTTGAGTTTGAGTAAACTACTATCCACGGAATAAATACGGTGTATCTTTTGGTCTAGTACTCACAACCACATTCATGGAGAAGACTGCTGACTTGAAAGTCCAGAAGACGATTATCGACACCTTCCACGAGGAGCCACGGAAGGTCAATGCTGAAAAGGCTGGCTGTTGGCAGAGTGCTGTATTGAGGCATATTAATGGAAGGTTGACTGGAAGGGAAAAGTGTGGTAGTAAAAGGTACGGCAGCGACAGCGATGACCGCAGCCTGGAGAGGATTGGAGAGAAAAGTCATTTCAAGAACTTGGGAGAGGTTCACAACGAGTGGGCCGAGGCTGGTGTCAGTGCATCAAGAGCCACTAAGTATAGACGTGTTCAGGAAGCTGCAACTGTTGCAGTCCTAATATCGAACCGCTCCTGAACTGACTGTCGCTCAGTGTCCAGATTTTGCATTTCATTTGGAAATCAAGGTCACAGAGTTTGGACCAAGAGTGGAGAGGAACAGAATCCAAAGTGTTTGAACTCAAGTGTGAACTTTCCTCAGGCTGTGATGATTTGAGGTGTCATGTCATCTGCTGGCGTTGGTCCCCTTTTGTTTTATCAAGTACAGAGGCAGCGCAGTGTCTACCAGGAGATTTTTAGAGCACCTCATGTTGCTGTCTGCTGACGAGCTTAATGGAGATGCCAATTTCCTTTTACAGCAGGACTTAACACCTGCCCACAGTGCCAAAATTAGCAAATGGTCATGATATTGCTGTGCTTGATTGGACAGCCGACTCACCTGACTTGAACCCGGTGGAAACCCACAGGGTTTATCGTCAAGAAGAAGATGGGAAGCAAAGACTGCTTTAAAATAGCCTGGGCTTCAATAACACCTTAGCAACACCACACTGATGTAGTAATTCATGGTAAAGGAGCCCCAACCAAGTATTGCAAGGAACATCTATCTATCTATCTATCTATCTATCTATCTATCTATCTATCTATCTATCTATCTATCTATCTATCTGTCTATCTNTCTATCTATCTATCTATCTATCTATCTATCTGTCTATCTGTCTGTCTGTCTGTCTGTCTGTCTGTCTGTCTGTCTGTCTGTCTGTCTGTCTAGATATTAGCAAATATTCTCTTAAGTTGAGATCCCAGATTTCTAATTTTCATGAGCTATAACCCATAATTGACTAAATTAAAACAATAAAAGCCTTCAAATAGTTCCGTTTATGTGTAACGAATATGAAAGTTTGAGCATTGTGCATTAAATTCTGAGAAAAAAAACAACAACTTTTTGACAATATTCAATTTTTTAAAGCTGCACCTGTACACGTGGGTGGAAACACACATGACAGTCTGCAGATACTCATCAAAATATGACAAATCTAATGTATCATCAGATTGATTTTGACACAAACCTTTTGGACGTGTCATTGCTGCTCACGCATGCTGTCAGTCATGCTGTCATTTTGAGAGTTTTTTTCTTTTTTTAAATTGAGCCTTTAATTCTAATTTTATTTCTTGTACGCTTTTGCTCTCGTCTTCCTGCTTCTGTCCTCCTCCTTTTGTTGTCAACTCACCACACGCCAGCCTGCAGTAACTTTAACCTTTGCTGTTGTTCTCCATCCCTCAAAGCTGCGCCGCTCAATGCGTCCCCCTCCTCGGCTGTGTTCAGCTGACAGCGCTACGCCCCCGTGGCTCCCCGGCACAATGGCCCCTCCACAAAGGCCCCTGGAGTATCCTCCACCTCCGCCACCAAATTCCTCCAGCCCAGGGAGACAGCCGTGGCAAATCCCATTCTCCCGCAAAACACACACGACGCGCACACACCAACGCTCGCACACGTTGATATTTGTCGGGGCTTAGCTGTCATCTTCCTACTGTACTTTTGGGAGAAAGATGCTCCTGCGCTTTGGCGAGAGAGACATTCAAAAAGGAGGTGGTAGAATTTCATAAGCAAATCCTTCATTTTTCCCTCTGTCTCTCTTGGGGGTGTTGTGTACTTAGAGATAGAGAGAAAAAAGACATGGGGGAGAGGAGGAACATGCTGGCCTGAAATATATTTATCCAATGCAGAAATCCAGCGAGGTAACACTCGAGACCTACTGCAGCAACTGGTTCCGTGTCTAATTCGAAAGCCCACAGGTAGATATTAAAGCTACAGAAATACTTCAAATCAAAATAGATAAGGTAAAAGTTTGTTAATCCCGAAGGAAACTCTTTTGCCAGATATTGTTCAGAAGACAAAATGACATGAGATATGCAGTGGCTAGTAGAAAACAATAAGATAACGGTACGATACATGGTTGAAATTCAAATACAGAAGCTAAAATAAGACTAAAATTGGTTGTCTAATACAATGCCTGTAGAAAGTATTCGCCTCCCCTGGAAATTTTTCCCTGTTACAGCTTTTTAACACAGAATCATGCTCAGTATCAGCTGACTTGTTTTTTTTAGAAGAATTAAAATAAAGATTCTTTCATGTCAACGTCAAAACACGGTTCTGCAAAATACAAGGTGTAAAAAGTTCCAGGACTGGTGTCACAAAAGATATATTTCAAACACAAACTACAAACTATGAGTTTTCCCCTCCAGACAATCAACCAGCACGTCTACAAAGAGATCCTGCGGCATTTGCTTTGTTCAGTGCGCCAGAAGCAGCGAGAGCTGTGGCAGGACAAGTCGTGGCTGCTTCACCATGACAACGTGCCTGCTCACAATGCCCTGAGCATCCCTGGCTCGGGGAACCCTAGCTGAGAAGAACATCGCCGTGCTGGAACAACCTCCCTACTCACCCGAGCTGGCTCCTTGTAATTTTTTTCCTCCTCCCCAAGCTCAAAGGGGTCATCAAGGGGACCCGTTTTGAAGACATGGACGACGTCAAGATGGCTGTGATGATGGAGCTGAGGAGGATCCCGGAAGAATCCTTCCAGGAGTGCATGGCGGTGTGGCAGAGAAGGCTGGGAAAGTGTGTTAGGAGGATTAATTGGAAGTAAAAAACTTGTAGTTTGGATTTGAAATATATCTTTTGTGACACCAGTCCTAGAACTTTTCTGGCACTGCCATAAATTCCAGACTATTGAGCGCACCCGAATATAAGCCGCACCCACTAACTTTAAACAGGAAAAAAAAATGTGTCCATGTATGGGCCACACTTGTCTATGAGCCACAGGTGTCCACGTTGTAACATGAGATAGTAACACAGAAAGATTTTTTTAACTTTTCATTAAATACGTACCGGTAACATACACAAACACATGCCTGTAACACGGCTGGTTAAGAAAAATAAATAGTACAGTAGCCTACTAGGAGAAGTCATTGATCACTATCTTCATCTTCCTCCTGCGCACTGAAACTACTGAAGTCATCTTCTTCAGTGTCGGAATTGAACAGCCTCAGAGTTACTTCGTCACACACTTCCTCAGTTTCTCTTTTGTTGTTGCTCTTAATGTCACTTTCATCTCAAGGCAAATTCGTAAAAATTGTAAAACTCTATGAATTAGCCACATCATTGTTTAAGCTGCAGTGTTCAAAGCGTGTGAAAAAAGTAGCAGCTTATAGTCCGGAAATTACCGTATTTGTTGTGTTTTTAATCAAACTGAAGCAGCATGTTTCGTCTTTTAGTCATGTTACCTGCTTAGTTTATCATTTATCCATGTACAACATAACATTCATGTAACATTGGATATTTGTTCCTAATTACTCTTGTGCGGGTGTTTTGATGATGTACATGCAGAGCGCTATCATTGCTTCACAAATGACCACTCGCCTTGTTCTAACACTTCCAAGACAAGAAAACGGCACAAAGGCACGAACTGTACGTGCATGAGCTAATTAACAACGAGACCATTATAAGACCTTGTGTCTGCAAAAAGAGGACACTGTTTATTGAGCAACAAACATTATAAAACTGAGCCCTTAGCTGAGCAAGAAGAACAGCAGATGACCTCAATCAATGCGATGAATGTGGAAATTATATAAAGTTGGTATTTTTCAGAGGATCAGAAGGACAGGCGAGGAGACAAATAGCTAATTTATTAAGGCAGTTATTTCCATCAAAATGTATAAAGACGTTTGTTGAGAGCTGAGGCACTGATTTAGCCACCGATGCACTGCCCCGTGACTGACGGGGTCCACTTCAAGATTCAAACGTTTCTATTTGTCACATGCTCGTACAGTGTGTGCCGTGAAATGCCAAGCGACTGCTCCCAATGCTGTGCAACAACAATAAGACATTATAAAAAGGGCAATTCTATACAAAAGATTAGAAAATTGTTAACTTGCGCAGGTGCATCCTCTTTTATTATATTATACACAGTGCAATCTTGTCCTTACATGGTGCACTTTTATTTTGGTCTTGTTCTTTTACAGAGCAGTTTTATTCTAGTCTTGTTATTAGTGCAATTTTATGTTGCTCTTTGTAATGACTTTGTGCTCTGTTGTTGTATGCTGCTGACCTAAAGAGCTGCTAAACTGCTTTTCTGTACAATAATAACAACAAAGATCTGTTGTATTCTAAAATTAAGAAGGGACGCTCTTCTTTTTGCAAGTATTTGTTCAGCGTCAACATCATACAGGCCCTAAAGTGTGACCTTTGCACAGAATGTTATGAAAGTGAAGCAGGATTTAGCCCAGATTAATAATTTCCCCTTCTTGTTTTCTGCTTCCTCCCTCTGCAGCGGTGAGCGGGGCCGAGGACGTGGCGCTCTACGTGGGCATGGTGGCGGTGGCCCTGTGTCTGACTCTGCTGCTCATCGTGGTGGTCCTGGTCTACCGACGAAAGAAGGAGGGCCTGGACGCTGACGTGGCCGACTCCTCCATCCTCACCACTGGCTTCCAGCCCATGGGCATCAAGCCCAGCAAGCCAGGTGTGTGGGCACCGCGGCCACGCAGGCCTCCCCCCCACAGCAGTAGGACACTGTTCTTTGTTCTACCCTCGTCAAATGCATCCGTCGGTCCGTCCATCCTCCCACCGTGACCGTGCATCCACATGTCCCCTCCAGTCCTGTTTGTTTGTCGGTCGCGCTGTTGGTATGAATGTGTTTACAGTGGTTTGTGGTCGAAGCAAGATTTATTATGTTGCGTGTCTGCGTGCGAGTGTGTGTATGTGTGTGTGTGTGTGTTTGTGTTGCGTGCAAGCTGTTTATTTGCCTGCCTGACACATTATGTTTCGCCACCACCTCATTGTCAGGAAATGTACCCACTCTGTTTACTGCCTGTGTGGAGCCTCTGAGGTTTAACAGCGAGTAATAGAAATACAACTGTCTGAGTTGGATGGAGATGGGGAACTGAGTTGCAGTGCCTGTGATTCACCGTGAAAAAAAAAAAAAAAAAAGCCTTTATACATTCTGGATGCTAAGCTGTATCTGAGTTCTGTTTGGAATTGATTGTGTGGTTGCTAAAGAGACAGACAGAGAGAGAGAGGGAGAGAGAGAGAGTGGGGGACGGGAATTGACTGGCTCTGGGTGGAATTTGTGTTTGTGTATTGTCAGGAGTGTGCGTGTGAGTGCTCTGTTCTCTGCACCATGTGTCTTTTTCTGTGTTTGTTTCAGTTTTCTTGTGTGTGTTGCAACAGCTTTAGAGAGTGTGAGGTCTGTCTCTGTGATGCAGGAACCCTCCCACCCACCCGCCTGCCCGCCACTCATGGAGATTCACACATTTGCTTTTGTCTGCTTCTGTTTTTTTTTTTTTTTTTTTTTTTTTATTCAAACAGAGAACTCCCATTTGCTCACCATCCAGCCTGATCTAACCACCACCACCACCAGCTACCAGGGCACCCTGCGCTCTCGCCACGATGCCACCGGGAAGTTTTCGATGACCAACGGGCCTCTGCTGGACCCGCTTCCCAACGGCTCGCACACTCTGCACAACGGCAAGCTCAACCCGGACCCCTCGGAGTTTGTGAGCAGGCTGTCCACTCAGACCTACTTTAAAACGCTGCCCCGCGACGTCGCCAACACCTCCTACGGGACCTTCAACTTTCTCGGCGGGAGGCTGACGATCCCCAACACGGGTTTGTTCCTCATTTTGGGTTTCTCTCTGTCACACCTGTTGTTCAGCTCAATCATTTCACACAAAGAACACAGGATGAATATTTGCCCTTTTAGCTTGGAAAAGCTTGATGCTATTGCTGACTTTTTATTGACAAATCAACAGGGAAAAAAATTGCCACGTAGCTGATATTAGTCTGACACTCAGTTCAGAAGAAATACGAAGTTAAAAACAGGGGAAGCATTTAACAGCATGGCTGGGGTTGCTGCAGTCGACCCATAATAAGGCTACAAAAATGCATCATGTAGGATGCAAGTTCAATAGATCCATAGTTTAATTTCATTTTACTCTCTCATTGATCCAAAGGAATCCCTGCTCCAGTGCTGTGAAGTGGATATGTGTTACTAGGGTGCAATCTATACGTTTTGGGTTTTTTTTAGCCTGCAGCTCAGGAACTACTTTTCTCAATACTTTCCAATGAATAGATTTTAAAGGAAATTTAAATTTATTCTAAAATCCAGTGCTCAGAATAACCTGCAGGTGGTCTGTTTTGCATTCGCACCACAAACAAACCCAACAAGAGTCCGATCAGAAGCAGAAGACTCTCTTTTCTGAACTGTCTTGGTTCTGTTGTTGGGTTCAGAGTTCGATTGACCCAGAGGATGCTTTTACATTTTAGCTCTTTGCTGCAGACTCTAGTGAGCTGGACTGCCTGCTAATTTGGCCTGATGAAAGTTAATACTGTCCATCATTATTTATAACCTAACATCCAGTTTTCTGTCTGAACTTACAGCACTCAGTACATTATAAATATTCATATTTCTCTGTGGCCTCATTGTGACACCAGACAAGATCACTGATTGATTTAGATTTTTGCCCTGGGAGTCCATGTGGTGGTGTTGAAGCAGGTTGACAGTCACCAGCACTGTCCAGCCAGGCCGTGTGCTTTTATGTTTCCAGCTCTTGGCTCATTTGCAATAAGAACCGACTTGGAGGTAATTTCCAATTCACTGCTTCCAAATTTGTAAGTGTGATTTATAAGACTGGAGTAAAAACTCTTATGATGCAGAAATTGGACAGTGGAGACAGAGTTTTTTTTTTTCAGGCGGGCGTCTCTGCAGACACTGCATTGTAAGTCTGTGTTGTGTAAGAGCAGGGAGATTTCAGTAATCCTCCGTAGGATGTTCTGTTTGCTGCTATACTTCAAACAAACAAGAAAAATATCATCTGAACAATTTAACATCTGCTGCTATATTGAGAAATACTGTGGGAGCAAGTCAGTCTTATTTGCTTTAGTGCACATGCTTGAACGTCTCTGACTGGACATTAACAAGCAGAGTTTATCACTAATGGTAGAATCCTGTAAACATCTCACTGTCTTGTTGAAACCAACCCTTCAGCCTTCAACACATGCATGTAAGTTTCCTAATAGGTCTGCACCGAGATACTGAAAGTGTTTCAGGGCTTCATACACGACAGCTTAGTGCTCCGGCTGTATTTCTGTCTGGGATACAAATTAGTTTATGAAGGAGCAAGATGGGAAAATACATTAAGCTGTGATTTAGCGGTGTAATTAAGGTGGATTGTGTGCCGAAAGGTTCACTTGTTTGTTTAAAAAGAGACTAATCCGAACGTTAAATCATCCGAAATAGCAGGATTTTTTTTTTTGCTTTATGGTATCGAAAATGATCGATTGTGTAACATGTCAATAACCTACGTCTACGCAGCACGGCGTTAATAGTTCAAATGAATGCTCGGTGATGAGACGAAATGAGCGTGCGCCAAAATACATTGTGCTCGGAAGGATGCCTGGAATAAAACCTAGAACAAATTATTCCAATTAGGCTGCTCGCTAATGACAGCGCTGGTTGAATTTACTGCCGATGTCCACGAGTGTCGATTGTGTGTTAAGAGCACAAACAGAAGAATAAAGACGGTCATAGTGCAGATTAGTCTGACACAAGATATTAAAAGTCCACCATTATTATTCCCCCATTTTGCTTCCCCTCTTCACATTAGCTGAGTACAGAGCTTATATAATTATACTGGGAGACAGTGTTTTCACTTGGCTCACTCTAGGCTGTCCAGATTAGCTGATGCCAGTACGGCAATATCTTGTGGAAGAAAAGGTCTTTTTTTCTCCTGTTTTCTTTGCCACCACACACTCGCTCTCCGTGTTTCTTTCCTGTGTCTCTCTTCCACTCTCTTACAGATATTTTATGCATGGATTAACTCAAAGCCATGTAGACTATACCACGCATTGGCACCCATCTTCTCACAGGGACACACAGAACGGAAAAAAAAAAAAAAGACTCAGCACTTGCATGCATCCACTCAAAAGAGATATATTGTCATTTAGCACAGTTTCAGAGCGGGCACATGGAGGACATGGTTTATAGATTCAAACAAGGCTGTGAGCATTCAGCCACCTTCGGCTTATTCAAACAGATGTTTTTATGGCAAAGAGGCCCAGTTTACAATCCAGAGACTGTTCAGATTGTGTCACACAGTCACTATTTGTACTACATTTTAAATAGGATTCTAAGTGGATGATTTTTTGGCGCGAGAATCACAACACAAACGCTGCTCCACTCAAACTACTTCAATAGCTCTCCCTATTCTCCGATGTGCATTCCTGCACTCTCCTGGGGAAGTGCAATTTTCCTGGAGTAGTCTGTTCCATGGTCTCAATTATCTACTTGGTGGCAGACGGAGGACATTTAAACTGCGATGCGGCGTGCGCTTTTGTCTCAGCTAATTGTTGACCGTGGGGACGAGCGCCGCCTCGGCTGCCAGTGCAGAGATTTGCATCTACTGTACCTGAAGGAGGCTGCCTCTGACCTTCAGAATAGATTTGTTTTTTGTTTTTGCAGCCATACAGTTTTGTTGAGTGGGCCGGCTTCCTTTGTGGGATGACAAAAGCGTTGTTCAGTCAGAACAAATGAGCCTGTCCCCCCTCCTGCTTACCCCCCCACTCTCTCTCCCTTTTGTTGTTATTTGCATTAGGAATCAGTCTGCTCATTCCTCCCGAGGCCATCCCCAGAGGGAAGATCTATGAGATTTATCTCACTGTTCAGAGGAAGGAAGATTTAAGGTGGGTCTCTTTAACACTGTCTAACTGGCAGTCTTCCCTGGATGCCACTAGGCTGTTTGTTTTGATGCTCTACTGTTCCATTAGGAAAGGCTTAAGAGTCGGTGCCAGTACTGTGGAGGAGGGATGTAAATAAATAACGTAGCCTTTTACTGGGATGTGCACTATTTAAGTTAAATGAATTGTTAGGAAAACACTGTTTATCTGGCTTGCTGCATCCAGGTCTCACAAGGCACAGTCAATGCAGCCTGCTGTGATTGTGTTATGTTATTACTCAGTCATCACAACTCGGCCCAGCTAGTCAGTGCGTCCAGCAGGCTTTCATTATTCTCTGTTACAGCTGCTAGATAATTTGCAGAAGTGACAGTGTCGTATTCTGCTTACAAGAGACCAGTAAATTCTCTCTAATAACTCGATGAGTAAAAGCACTTCATCTCGATTCATTGGCCTCTCTGGCTGTTTTTTTCTCCCCGGTGTAGGTTACCCCTGGCCGGCTGCCAGACCCTGCTCAGCCCCGTTGTGAGTTGTGGCCCTCCGGGGGTGGTCCTGAGCCGACCGGTTATCCTCAGCATGGACCACTGCTTTGACGCATGCCTCGATAACTGGGCCGTCCGCCTCAAGAAGCAGAACTACGAGGGCGTTTGGGAGGTAAGGCAGCACTATAACTCCAGCACAAATCCTTTGTAGAAAGACAAAGTTGCCACCCGGTGAATTTGTGAAGTCTTACTGAGAGCTTTTCTCTGAAAAGTACAAACCTGCTCAGCGGTGACTTGAAACACACTGAAATCCACTCAGTGCTGTATGGCAGAGGTAGTTCTAGCCCAGCACTCATCTACTCCATAGGGTTTAAATTATATTGACCATCAGGTGTTTTCTCATTGGGCTGGAACAAAAGCCTGGAAGCACCAGCTCTCTCCAGCTCAAGAGTTGCTAGGCAACATGTTTCTCAAAACAGAAATTCTCTAAGCAAATTACTGATCCTCAAAGTACTCTTGTGAGTGCTCCTTGACCATTTTTGACCGCTGCTTCCAATTACAGGGTTCCCTCCCCGTTTTTCTATCCATGAAATTTGAAAGTAACCAGAGCTGCCAGACTCCAATAGGATGGAGTTGGGAAGAACCTTTGGTGTCTCCACACACACATACACACACACACACAAACAAACGCAGTTGGAGGCAGTATGCCCATCTCAACAATCCAGAGAGATTGGAAAGGGTGCTGGTGGGCTTTGGAGTGTTACTAGGTCTTCTTTCATGTTCGATATTGTGCATAAATTATTCAGCCTCCCCCCGTGTAGCAGCGGTGGGGTGTCTGTGGGATGGATTGGCCTGTCTGAGGCAGAGGTTAGACCAGCACTTTTAATCATCAGCCGGACCAAATATAGCCCAACGGCCTGACTGCGTGGCCACCAATAGAAAAAAAAAAGTGCCAGGTGGACGAGAGAATGAGAGTGGAAACAACCACAGAGTGTGACGGAAACCGAAAGTAGAAAAAAAACATAAAGGAGACGGAGCAGGAAAGGCAAAGTAGACTGGCAGGTAATGCAGATCTAGAGGAGAGATTTGCGAGAGCGGCAAGGAGAGATAGTGAAAATAGATAGGAGACATGCAGAAGGAGAAAGGGGAATGAATTACTCGTAGACGGAGCGCTCAGTGGAGTAATTGAGCCACCTCACTCTCTGTTCCACTTTGAAGAAATATTAAGATGATGAAAAAGTGAGACTCCATTGTGGTCGCATAGCAAATGAATCGTGTCAATACTAATTCTATTGATGTAGATGGTGTCTGGTTGAATCGATCCTAGAGGGGCTCGCTGGGCATTTGGCAGGCAGAATGCTCTCTTCAGCTTGATTGGCTAATGGGAAGAGTCAGTCAACTAGCATGATGGGATTTTAGAGAAAATGTTGTCACCTTGGGTCCAATTTGTCTCCATCAAATTAGCCCAGAGCAGTGAAATTATCTCATAGAAACTATCCCGTACTGTGATGGAATGGGATATTTTTTTCCCCGTCTGTCATCCTTGTTAGGGATGCGCAAGTTGTGATACAGGACTTTAGCTGCGTAACAAAGCAAGTAAATGTAAGTTGTTGCTTATCTGGCGTAGTTGAATCTGTCTTCTTTTTTTTTTCTTCTTCTTCCTCCATGCCAAATTAAAGCACCAATTAATTCTTGTGCTGCCTGTTAGTTTTTCTGAACACTTTTCACCATCAGGCAACAGGGTTGTTTTGCAGATAAATTGGCAAGTTGGTTTCACCTTTCTTAACGAATCTCAGACAAATGCTGGAGGAAATTCCGGAAATCCCAATAATCCAATATTCACTGCACCTCCACGGTCTTTTCTTTCTCCAGAACCATCTATTCTTGCCAGGAATCTATTCGAGTCTCCTTTCATGTCAATTGAGTACCTCGTTCATGCATTATTAAGTAAATTGATGGTGTTCTATAGGATGTGTTTCTCCATGTGAGGGAGCGTGTGTCTTTATGTCAGTGTGCTGTAAGCTGTATCGCGGTGAAAAGGGAATTTAAAGCAGGAACAAAGCCTCTCCTCCTGATCTAAACTGCTGCCCAGATACTTACGTAACATTACCTTAAAGACCTGTAGCTTAGATGCTGCTTTGTCACACAGCAGGGAGAGTGGAGTTTGGGGCCATGCTACTTTCCTAACAAGCCCTTTGCAAACACACACCCACGCATGCACACATCAGGTACCCAAGCAAACACATTACCCTTCCCTTCCTACATAAATTGGGTGCTTGACCTTCCATCCACACTTCTTTTTTTTTTTCTTCTCCCCCCTTGCCTCTTCCAGGACGTCCTGCTGATGGGGGAGGAGCTGGTGTCGGAGCCTTATTACTGCCAGCTCGAGGCCGAGACGTGCCGGCTGTTCTCGGAGCAGCTGGGCACCTTCTCCCTGGTGGGAGAGTCCCTGCACATGGGTGCAGCCAAGCGCCTCCGGCTGGTGCTCTTCTCGGACGCATACTGCTCCACGCTGGAGTACAACATCAGGGTGTACTGCATGGACGACACGCAGGATGTCTTTAAGGTAAAAAAAATAAATAAATAAAAGAAAATGGTGACAAATGCGGCACCGCCTGTTATTCAGTCTGTCTGGCAGTTTCTGAAGCCTCCGATTGCACCGACTGGGTGGTTTCGCATCAGCTGAGTGATGGGCAGGCTATTATGTGTAATAGCATTGTCTGTCAGATTGGAAGGTTGGTAGGAATCGGCGCAGACATGTAGGAGTTAGACATCGCCATGGTAAATTGAACAATGTTGCAGGCCCGATTACACCGTGCGCAGTTCAGGGGTGTGTGATTTGTGGTGATGATGGTCCTCCCCCCCTCCTCCTCCTCCTTGAATCTATAGAGACAATGCATATATGCAGGGTAATCACGGTGTACAATCTCTGTGTGTTTTCTGTGTGCATGCCTACAGAGATGTTTCCCTCCTTTCATGCTGTCAGTGGTTCTGCTTGGCTGCCGTGGGCCAAGAAGTTTCCCATCACTTTGTTCAACAGCATATTTCGCTTCTGTTTTTTTCCCCTCCACATGGACAGAGTATAATCAAGCACTAATGCCTTCCTCCCTCCCCCGAGGACTGCCTCTGAGTAGCCTGTTAAGATTTCATTTGCATGGTTAATTAGTAAATTAAAAGGAGAGCCTGTCCCAATCTTTTCCCAGCAACCCCCGTGCTCGCTCTCTCCCTCTCTCTCCCTCTCTCTCCTCCCGTTCGTTCTCTCCACACCTCCCTTTCTCTCTCCAAGCTGTTCCTCTTCTTCTGACACCACCCACAGCCACAAGTGCCTCTTCCCGCCAGAGTCCACTTTTGCCGGCTATAATGGCTGACCTCCTCGCGCAACCAGCACAATCTATGGACGGCTGCGGGACATAAACAATGGGAGTCACTGGGGGCTGTCGCCGAAATTAGCACTCTCACATACAGGGGGCCGAAGATGAGATGAAAACGGTTGCACAGGCTCTGGCTGTGGGGTGGGAATTACAGAAGCCTCTCCGAGCTTACATCTGTCTTTTTGTGGCTCAATTCTGCTGCTGCTGCTGCTTTCTCTCTCTTGTTTCCTGACAGCGACTGCTTGATAGAAGGCGTGCTCAGGAAAATTGCTGGCTGACATTCAAGAGTGTTCTAATATAGAATAGATATAAAACGTGGCGTACAGGAGGCGATGTTTTCTGCAGATGGATATCAGCCCGTGTGTTTACGCGCTATCAAAGTACTTCTAATGATAGGGCTGTCTATATATTCAGATCATCAGTTGACCCGGTGGTGTTTTGCTGCAGTGTGACTGCCGAAATGACCTTGCGTGTCCTGTGTTGGATGCAGGAAAGGCTGCTGGTGCACAAAAACTCTTTCTCTCTCGCTGCCTCTCTCTCTCTCCCTGGCTAGCTCTTGTTCTGCTATTCTCCCGCTCTCTTAGCCAGGAAAAGGACATCTGAGCTTGTTGACTCCAGCACTTGTGCTGCCATACTCTGCGGCTCCCTCGACGCCCTTGAGTGCATTAGCTCCGCGTCTCTCACACAACCTGGTCCTGTGGTAAGCCACGGCGTCTCCGGGGTTTTGTAGTTTTTAGTGAGTGATTTAGAACGTGGCCCACACTGTTTAGTAATCTCGACTCCACACTGCTCTTGGTGCTATTATGGAGGGAGCAGTTCATTTAGCAAGTACATTAACTACTTTGAGTGGAGATTAAACTTCCCTGGAGAGGTTCAGCCTAATCACTAATCACTATCTTTAAAATGCACCATTTATGATTAGACTTTCACTATGGCTACCATTAGAGTTAATTGCAGTATGTAACAGCGGTGGAGTAGCAGTAGGTGGTACAGTGAAGTGGCACAGCCATTTTTTTGTGTGTCTGCACTCATGTACAGTACACCTTCAGCTCATATGAATTCCAAGATGGCGCTGGCAGCCTGCTAAGGCACCTTGTTTTTCAGCCAAGGACTCGACTGTACACGCATTAAACAGCTGTACTTTTGATGGGAGATGACAAAAACTGTGACTCTTCAGTAGCAAGGAGAACTGTAGACACCAAAAGGGATGCTGAGCTTTTCTTTCCAGTCCCATCACCGGCTGTCAGTCTGTTCTGACAAGCCTCCATCAGAGAGAGTGACAGATACACGCACACATGCATGCAAACTACACTTATGCATGCTGTACCGTGGAATCTCTTATCTCCCAATTACAGCAGATTAGAACCAATGTTATTGTCTTTGATCCTAAGTGTGCGGGGGCTCAGGGGAAACAGTGACATTTCGTCTGATGCTTGCCGTATGTTAGCGGGGCTCTGCCGGGACCAATTAAGTTAATATTTAATGTGTGTCCCACTCTTGATAGGCCCAGCCAAGGCTGGCACAGCAGCAGAGGAGACATAATCGGCGTTTGGTAGTGCCCTCACTGTGCACTTGGTTGTTCCCAGCTAGACCTGTGGGAGAGCATCACTGATGTTCTGCCATCCCACAACTGATTGAAACACCTGCAGTGAACCAAGCCGCCAACTCAGTGCAGAGATACACACACCAACATCTAATTAACTGGAAGGGTGCCGACGAAGGTGTCTTTTTAGGATTGGAATATGGTGCAGCTGCTTTTTTATATTTAGCCGTGATATTCAGAATCTGTCATGTGTTGGTGCGAATGATAAAGGAGAGTGTTTTCCCAGCATAAGCCACATTTGAGTGGAACAATAACAAAATATCTCTGTGTTTATTGATAACTAAATGTTCTTCCTTTACACCCACATGTCTGTGTTTTGTGAGGCCGGTGTTGTTGTACAGCTTTTTTTTTTCTTTTTTTTTCTAAACGTCGAATGATTTATAAACCGCCCACCCTCTGTCAGATTTATTTTTTACAGAGGTTGAAGCACAAGTCAGTTTTCCTGCATTGAGTGGTAGACTTTTGGAGGGGCCATAATAACAAGGCAGAGTTTGTAATAAATATCTGGATGGGTTGTGTGGTTTTTTTTTTAGCCCCTGTTAGTGGCATCGTTCTAGCTAAGGATGGCAATGTTGATGTAGTTTACACACCACTTTGGCCCACACTGAAATATCTCCTCAACTATTTGACAGATTTTCGTGATGTGTTTTACAGAAACACATGGTGCCCAGAGGATAAATTGTTCTCTTCTCTCACCATTTCTGCAGCGCCGCAATCAGATCGCAGTTTCAAATCATCCATTACTTACTTTTGCAACTAACTTCCCGTAAAACTGACGTTTGGTTTAGGAGAGTTTTGAACAGCACTAGATTTTGAGGGCTGATGCTGATTTTATGGAGCGAAAAATATTGATGTTTGGACGATTTTACTTATAAATGTTTTTGGAAATAATGATTACACCGCTGCCTTCCTCCATTTCTTGTCAGAGCCACACAGTGTCTTCTTCTTTAGGTTGTAATGGACCTCTGTTTTGCTGATTCCAAGCTGGTCATCAATGGCTACTCTCACTATATCCCTCTTTGTTAAGCTCTTAGTTAAGGTGCTGTTTTCTTGTTATCTCTCAATCATCTTCTCTTGGGCATTGTTGAGTCATAATTTTGTTTGCATTATCTGTTGACTTTACATATACAGCTTATGGGCAAAACAAGGTGGCTGAGAAAATGTTTTAATCCCTCTTGTGCAAGTTTTGAAATCTTTCCATACATCATATTTTTTAACATAATGTATTGCATGTGTTGAATTATTCTAAGACTTTTTTTCCCCATGTGCTATAGGCAGTGCTTTAATTATTTAACCACAATAATAAAAAGTGAGTGACTCCACTGGGTTAAGAAAACAACAGGTGGTCTAATTATTTCCAAATCTGTGCATATAAACATACACATATATTACACACGTATAAATAAAAAATGTGAATTATGTAACTGAGCTTGCAGAGCATGTTCCATTTTGTAGTCTGTTCTAAAAAGCTTAATATTCACTAATGATGAATTGATCTTTGTATTTAGGTATATCAAAAATAACACAAGTGAACTCAATATTGAAATGTGTTACGTCCTCTTCATTAAAGCACGCAGTCTCCACTCTATCAAGCTACCTATTCATGCTTTAGATTTATTTCTATTATTTCAGTCGTTTTAACTCCAGTCAGAAGTTTTGTTCTCTTGCTTAATAAAATGTCACCTCAAGCAAAATGTCCCTGTTAACAACCACAAATACTATTTCATGATTCACTACTTCTGACTCACAGTATCAATGGCGCTTAGACATCATGGGGAAGCTTTCTATGTATCTGGTGTAAAAAATAAAATAAAAATGAATTTATTGAATTCAGTCCCAGGAATTGTTCAGTTTGCAGTTTTATAGGTGTAATATTAGCATTCATTAGCCTTCCAATCATACTATGAGGAGACGGGTCTTAGATGCTAGCACATTAGCTTCCACTCAACTAAAAAGCTGTGAAAGTAGCTAAGTGGTGATAATGTAGTAAACAGTAACAACGTGACAGTTAACATGAACACGGTTATGTCAGTCATATTGAAAAGATAGCGGAGTCATTGTTTAATTTAACTGCCAGAAATGTATCTCAAAAAGTCATTGACACCGGTTGACTCCGCACCGTTTTGTTACATGTGCTGCTGAACTACCTTAAACTAGCTTTCATATCGGACAACATATCTGCCAATATACCGATATATTACCCTCCACTAATATAAATTTAGTGCTAAGCCTGCTAACATAACATAAACTACACTGATGAGCGTATTAGCATTGTCATAGTGAACATTTTAGCATGCTAACGTTGGCATTTAGGGCCTCTGTGAGAGCATATAGATGTACACTTCTGTCTTGTCTTGTTTAATCATTATTGTAGTGAGTTAAAGTTACATTTATAAGCCATAAAAACCCCAAATCATACATCTCAAGACTGAAATACTAAGCACATTCAACTCCCTTCTTAGCCCCGGTGTTGTATTTAAGACTGCAGATTTACTCCCCCATCAGTGTTCTTGTTATGAGGCCAGTTCATTGAGCTTTTTTGTCGGTTGATTGTAAAAATGTATGTTCCAGGGTTAAATGGGTGTTTAATTGATGTCGTACTGGTTAAATAGCGGCTCCTGGATTCTTTTGTACAGCGTTTGACCTCAAGCTATGATTCTTATTTGCGTTTAAAAGGCCTCATAAACTGTTTATGTGCTCCCACGATGACGTTTTCTTTCTAGCTCCCGAGCAGCCGGCTACATTAGAGCAGAAACTTTTTTTTTTTTTTTTGCACTGTTATGCATCAGAGAGGGGAAAAGCAGCATGCGCAGTGTAGAATACAAACAGTTCCTCTGATCCCTCCATCAGAAAAGTTACTGGCAAGAAATTCTAGCAGGGGGAAGAAGGGAAAAAAAAACAGAAGAGCATAGCCCAGTAATTGCTGGCATTAAGTTAAACAAGACAGTCAGCTTTATCACTGAGCCCAGCTGAGAAATTGTTTCCATATTATATTTCTGTGTTCCTGTGTGCTGTTTTCTCCCGTCCTGCTCTGTGATTTATCAGGCAGAATGTGCATCTTTTCCCTAGCAAACACAGTCCCCATTTATAACTGAGCAGACAAGTCCCTTCTATTTGTAGTTATTAATCAGAGTTGACTGTAGCGGGCACGGCCACTGGAGCTCAGACTGATAGACTCTCAGTCAGAGAGGAAAAGCCTGTCACATCCTGCTGACAAATACACAGATTTATGGAGCCCACATAGCCAGGCTAGTCTCTATAAACAAATGCATTTGCCTGAAAAGAGCAGCTCTGAAAATGGATCGTCACTGTGAATGCACATTTTTAAACACGAGGACGCGACGTTACCGAGGGCGGAGGGGTGAGCACGAGTTTATGAGGATATTAAAGCCCGCGTATTGCTCTATGTTTCAGATGACATGTGGCTTGACTAATTAACTGATCAAACGCTACTTATAATCCCCATCAGAGCTAGTTAAGTTAATCAGTTTATTCCACGCAAAGCCCGAACAACAGAAGGCCTCAAGTAAGAGCCTGACCTTGCTGTGAGCAACGTCTGCAGTCCGGTACTTAATATGTAGGCCTCCGCTTGTACTTTGATTCCGTTCGGTCCGTGTTTATTTCCCGCAATCCGATGGCTGGCTGGGTTTTGTTGCACGAGAAAGTTTGGGGTAACCTCTTTCTGTCAGCACCAGCCCGAAGAGATTAGCTGTATGAGTGTCTCTTGTATCCCCGATGGTGCTCGGCCTCAGTCCATCACAGTCCCAGCTCCGGTCCGTGCCCAGAGGATGATGGGGGGGAGACGGGTGTGGAGCGAGGCGGGAGAGACGAGCGAGCAAGGGTGGGAAAAAGGGGGTGGAAGTCATAGAAAACTGTGGCCATGATTGCAGTAATCCTGTTATCTGTCCTGCTAAAGCTGGCCACTCTGGTGACCTGGAGACACAAATGTTAAGCTGCCTCTGTCTCTCTTCTCTCTCGCTGCTGCTCTTTTCAGTCCTCCCTGCTCTATCTCACTCTCTTTAGCCAGCCTCATTGAATGTCAGGGGGTGGTCTTGGCTCTGCCTGACTCTAAATTCACAGTCTTCACACACACCACGGGCTATCTTGAATTCCGTCAGAACAAAAGGGGTTTTTCTCATGCGGTACTTGAACTTCTCGCCCATCTCATGTGTCTTAATGTTTCCATAGTCGCACCGATGTCTTAACAGAAACGGAGCCTTCTTTTCCTCGCCGAATAGAAAAACAAAATCTCCCCTCCGAGATGATGATTAATATGTGATTTCGTAAACTAATTCAAAACCTTGCATTGTTTCCCCGCAGAAAGAGTAAATAATATGGTCAAATTTAGCTTCTCATCTATTAGCTCACTCACGCTGTCATTTGTTAACAGGATAATGGGGTGTAAAGAGGGCCATTATTCTCTCAGTCCAGAACATATGCTGAAATCCTGCACAGAGACGCGCACTAATACACACACTCACTGGCACTCAGACACACACACACACACACACACACACACACACACAGTGTACAAGTGTGTCATTTTGAAAGCGAGGACGCGTGCACACTTTAAAGGAGCAAGTGCATCATCCCATGTTGTGTATTTTTCAAGCTCCCTGTCAGGCTGCAGGACGAACATGTCCTAGACCCTGTTTGATTGTAATCCTGCCGTGTCAGCCTTGAACCTGACAAACTGCTAGACGGGCGAGTTAGTATTCATTCTAGTTGCTAGATGCTGATAATAAGATAATTGGCATTCTGCGCTCCTTCTCCTGTTAGCAGGCCTATGGATCCGCTTCTATAGGTCAAAGACCTGATCAAAGTCCACCAGCCAATTTGCAATGCTAATCTCCCCTAACAAATAATTGTGCTTAAGAACTGTTTAAATGAACCTCACTGGAGGCCCACATAATGTGCCTTTTGTATCCTTAACAGACATAATAGCAGAGGGCTTCTCTGCGCAGAATGCACTGCCCTCTGTTATTAACTCATTAGACCTCGACGCGTTGATTCAGAGCCATTGTCTGACCTTCCCTCTCCGAGTAAGTGGGCTGGGTAGCATCACACAGCTCCGGTGTGTCAGTACAGTGAGGAGCATATCTCAGTGAGCCACATACAGTCTGATCATTGTGCATTTTTAATGTTCGGTGGCATTTATGTGAAAAGGAAAAATAAACCAATATAAATGCAGGGATCGAGGCAGATAATCACAGGGGGCATAATATTCATGTTAACAAGAAGATAAGCACAAAGCAAACATGGAAATTAGCAATGCACTGAGCAAACATGGAAATTCAATTCCCGGGCTGAACCAAAAAGTGCTCATTCAGTGGAGGAGAGAGCACATCAAATAACCCAGGTAGAGATTCCAAATGGATAATTAACAGCTTCCTTTCCATTATAATTGGAATCAGTCTAACCCATTCCTGGGAAAGAGGGCAGAAAATTGAATCAGTGTTGTGCGGATAGAAATTACTGCCATTCTCCACCTTAATTAGATGTCTTTGCTCAAATCATACCATGGGCAACTGTGCTGGCATGCAGCGCTCAACATATGGCCACTATCTATACACACATCTCCCTCTTGGAGCTGTTGTCTTTGAGATACTGTATGTCTCGTAGACTCCGAGGCACATTCTGGCTCACTGTTTTCCTTCTGCTGCCATCTTGTTTCCGTCCTCAGACAGATTAAAAGAACATATCTTATTTCCGAGGTCTTTTCACACCACTAATTTCAGAGATCTGTTTTCTCTGTTGTAATATGCTCCTCTGATTGGAGTGTGAGGTAGCACATATGAGTGCTATCCAAAGTACTGTTTTTTTTTTTTTTAATTTTTACTTATTTTTTATTTTAAGGGCTCGTTCAGCACAAAGCATCCAGCTCAAAAAACCAATTGATAAATCAGAGGAGAATGTGGCGGATATTATCAAGCCATTCCAGATGGTCATTTGGATGGCAACAAATGGTCCGCTGAGCAAGTCCCACAGAGATTAAAATATTAAGCATGCATTTACAAATCTCTCCTGGCACAAAAACAAAAATGAAATTAAGGAGGTTCGCCATGCGAGAACAATGAGCAGTTGACTAATGGCTCGTTCACTTACTTCATCACAGCCCAGGTAGCTAGTAGGCTGGGATGGCTGCAGTATTTGCATGCTAATGCAGTTGCTGAAAGCTGAACATACACACACACACACACACACACACACTGCTGAGGCGGGGGATCAACCTTGTGGTGACATTAAAGCGCTGTGGAGACAAGTCGGTCCAGTCCTTTGCGGCTCCATGCAGGGACACTATCTTCTTGTCCTAAGATGTGCTGTACCCCTGCCTCACGCTCACGCTGCGCTTGTGTCAGCGTGTGCGTATGTGTGAGCAAGCGAGCCTTTGTGCATCTGTTTGAATCAGGTTTCCTTTGTGCGTCCCCCACCCCTGCCCGTGTCTTTGTGCATTTCTTTTCATTTCTGCCCGTGTGCGAGTAGACAAATTGTGGCGCAGCTTTGTGAGTGAGTGATGCACCATGCAAAGTGTAAACAGGAAGCAGTTATGGATTGTTTTGCACGTGTTCACTTACCTGTGTGACTGTGAGAGTAAATGTGCTTCCCTCACTGAGCCCTGACACCTCTCCCTGCCTCTTTCTCTTTCGTCAGGAGGTGATGCAGATGGAGCGGCAGCTCGGGGGTCGGCTGATTGACGAGCCCCACGTCCTGCTTTTCAAAGACAGCTACCACAACCTGCGCCTGTCCATCCACGACATGCCCCAGGCGCACTGGAGGAGCAAGCTGCTAGCCGGCTACCAGGTGTGTTGGGCAGCCCTGGGTGGCTGCAGGGGCAGGGAGTCACTCCAGATCAGAGCGGGGCCAAAGACATGTAATACAAGTGCCTGGCTGAATCTGTCAAATCTGTGTATCTGCAGTTAAAGAGCTTGTAATGCATTTGTTTTTAAACTCAATTTAAAATCCATGCTGTCTCAGGTTATTTTAAATTAGCCATCCAGAGAGATTAAAAGAAAAAAAAACAAAAAAAAAAACAATTAAGTCCATGTTGGCAAAAATGATGTCACCGTAGCCAAAAGTTATTCAGGAGCAACTTTTTATTGTTAATGAGGGTTCATGGTCCATTTGTCTCTCTGGAAAGTTGTTTTTATTTTAGCTGGTTCAGAGTTTTAATTAAGCATGTTTTGATTTGGCTTCACTTGGTCACTTTAAAGATTCACACAAAGGAGTGTTTTTCAGCGTGTTACTGCAGGACTCCTCTGTCCAATAACCTTTCCGTTCTTGGCACAGTGTGCAACTTTAAATCATTCACCGGAGTAGAGGGAACACTTTTGGGTGTGTGTGTGCACCTCCTGTGCATAGGAGTGTGCATGAGGTGTATACATGTGCATATTGGAGCTGGCTTGTGTGCACTAACCCAGAGCTGCGAGCTGATTGATTATCCTAGCTCTCTCAAAGGGAGCTCAGATGAAATATAGAGCAGTATGTAAATATCTGGAACTTTGCAACCTGAATTTTGGAACCTCTCCACCTCCGCCGCACTCCCCGCACCTGCACGGCCAACTACACCGCAGCCCTACGATGGAGACACAAAGGCTGTTCAAAGAAGACTAGAAAATGTTCTGGCTGTAACTATGTAAGCATTGAGCACCGGGTCCCCAAAGAGAGCGAACAGGCTGTGCCAAGCAAGCAGCAGCAGCAACAATGCACCCAGAACAGAGGCTTATTCCTCTGGACTGTGCCTGTTCATTTGGAAGTGTTATTCCCCTCTCAGCAGTGCAGTCAAAAAAGCCTTTAGCCTCCCTGGGGGCCTGTGAAGACTTTTGTGCGTTTCACCCGGCTCCCTTTGCCGCCGGTCTGCCTGGGTAACAGTGCCCCCGTTTGGTTAGCAGCATGTGCTGCAGCCCTACTTCACTCTCAAGCCGAGGTCTTGTTAGCTGTTGAACTCAGGGTAAAGTGAGGAGTTAGTGTACCCTTTTTTTTTTTCCTCTCCCCAGTGCTACCTCTGTGCTTCTCCTGGGTTATGCAAATGAGTCATGAATATGCAGCAACAGAGAGAAAGATGTAGAAATTGTCATTCTTGAATAAATTCTACCAAACACTCCCTGGTAGCTGTTTGCTAGACAGGAGCCGGCGCTGTACAGCAGCAGTACTCAGAGCTATTATGCATATATATATAAATATCTTTGTCACATGATGTGCTTTAGACTCATAGTAGTGGTGTGTTGTTTCAGCATGTACGCCATCAGCATCATTTGTAGCTCTGCCTACCTGCAGGAGGTAGAAAAGCTGAATCAACTGAAAGAATGAAAAGAAAACGTGTTTCTAGTGCCAGTGTGATAAATCCAGCGTGCAGTCTCCTCAAATATCCCAAATTTGATTTCTTCTGTAATAAACTCATTCAGGCAGACAGCTTTTAACTCCCATTAAAGATTCTATTTGTCAGTAACAGCACATTAATTCCCTTTAACTTACTTGAATGTTATCAGTCTGCTGCCTCGGATATATTTAGCCATTTTCACCTAATGATGACAGCTTATGTCGGCGTAATTAATGATAATCTCAGTGTATTCCAGGCAGGCGGTCCTTGTTGTGGTGCGTTTCAGACACGCCGTTCTGACTGTGCTGCTGCGTTGCCGTTTGTGCGCGCGCCTTGTGTTTTTCTGCAGGAGATCCCGTTCTACCATATCTGGAATGGTTCCCAGCGGTACCTGCACTGCACGTTCACTCTGGAGCGGCTCAGCCTCAGCACCTGTGAGCTCACCTGCCAGCTGTGTGTGTGGCAGGTGGAGGGGGAGGGACAGAGCTTTAGCCTCGACTTTAACATTGCCAAGGTAAGCATCAACCGCTCGCTCAGAGCCCCTCAAGCCATTACGCAACCACCTTGATTCTGCATTTTGATTATTCATAAAGGAATTTTGTTTGTTCAGGGCTGAGATAAAGGGGCTTTGCTTTTTATGGCTGTTCCTCTCAGGACACTCGGGCGGTGGACTCTGAGTTTCTGTTAATGGACAGTAACGCCACGGCTCTGGCGGGGCCCAGCGCCTTTCAGATCCCGTACCTCATCAGGCAGAAGATCTGCAGCAGCCTGGACGCTCCCTGTCCCAACGGAGCTGACTGGAGAATGCTAGCACAAAGACTCAAACTCGAGAGGTAAATACCAAGTTGGCAACACAATGACGCTGATCTGATCACTGATCTGGCCATCGACGGAGCATGTCGGAACAGGCGGCTTAGGCGCGAAAGCTCTTAAGAAATTCAGCAAGAGCCTCATTTATCCGAACCCCTCGAGAAAAGAGGCGAGGGTTTACACTCCAATGCGGCTTGTTTAAAATAATGAACATGCAATCACGCTGATTGTGAAGGGTCACGCCGACGTCGAGGTTAACGTGTAGCTATGACGGTGCGGTAATTGAACACAATCAGCGGCAAAGTGCATGAGCGCAGTCGAGTGTTTTTCCTGAACTTCAGGTAAACAAGGTAATGCCTCAGCAAACTAATCCTCTTTTGACACAGCTAACATTATAGGATTAATGTGGACTTGATGGATACAGCTATCATTTCTGCAAGAAAACATGACCCCCTTCTTCCGTTTTTCCCTCAGAAACAGGTAAGCAGCTTAGAGTCTGCAGCTAAACTTCTACCTGCTACATTCTGCTTAACTGTTGTAATTGGAAAGGCAGCGAGCTAACCGCCCATCAGAGGCACAAAAAAAAAAAAAAAAAAAAAGATGGAGGAGGTTTGGATGTGTGCCGCCGTCGGACCAATTCGTTCTCACGGTTACTGTACTTTATCACCGGAGTACCTGTAACAGAACGGAGCCAGGCATTGATCCCTTATCCTCCAATTTAATTTCTACCTTGTAATGAAATCAAATAGGTACACTTAATTTGTCCAATCAACTTTATTTACCCCAATTAATCACAAATTGAATTGATGCACTACAGCTTTAATTAGCAATGTTTTGCTCAACATAATCAATTCTCATTTAGGCCTCAGGAAGGAACAAGCGCTCCGTTGTTTGATCTGTCCTTAACAACATGTTTTCCTGAAAAGGCAACAGCTCCTTGGCATTCTGTCGTGCTGTATTTCTGCGTTTGTTTCTGTGCGCGTAAAGTGTTCAGACCGAGCGGAACGGGACCAATCAATAAAACTTAAAATGCCAAGAACCTTTTATTTGATCTTTCTCTCCCAAGACAGTGCAAACGGCTGCGTCTGAGCCATACAAGATAAGCTCGTGTTTCACACAGCGAGGTGAATAAGCAGAGCTGACACGTTGGACGCCGAGCTCCGTCGTTTTTATCTGAATAATGACACAGAGGTTCATTCCCAGACAATCTTCTTTGACCAACACTCCTCTTTGTTGTCTTCTCCCGACACAGAGGGAGAGCTGTGTATGCTATAAAATCCAATTGACTCAAAATAGCAGAGTGACACAGTGTTCTCGGTGTTTGTGCTCTGCCAAAGCATGTTTATAACCATCACAGAGTGCTTCAGTAGGCAAACAGAAGATACGAGGAAGCAGCGCACTCTGTCTGACCTTTCTCAAGGTGGAAAGGACTCCGGTGGCGTTTGAGGCTTTTTGTCTCACCCCCGTCCGCCCTAACACTCGCACAGCACCAATCTGTCGAGGGGTTTACACTCGTGTTTTTTTCTTTAACACAACGTGCGCTCTACATAACGGTTAAGGCCGCGGACATTTGGAGAACAGAAAAAGGCCATTAAATCAAACAAGCATCTTCAGGTACCGGGGAGATCAGGTCCCACTCAACATCAAATATAAAGCCGGCCGGGGCCACTGCTTTGTTGTCATTGATTGGGTTTGATCGTAAAGGTTCTGCTCCTAAAACGGAAAAGGTCACTTCCGACTTAACAGTGAAAGTCCATATAGGATTTACTATATATGGGATTTAGGGCCAATTTCAACATCAAATAAAGAGGAATGAGGGTTATGGTGTTAAGCTTGAAATGAAAATTGCCGGAGATTCTGTATTTGATGGCAGTTTCAAGAGCCAGACTGTGTTCTTATACCTTTTATCATTTTTTTACTTAGTGCTCCAACACGGCATATCGGGACGTAGCAATATAACACACAATAAAACCTGACATTGACGGAGCTACGAGAAGCGGTAGCACAATAAAGCACCAGCTGAAAAGGTTTTCTTAAGAGTCTTTTGATGGAGATAAAATGAGAAAGTGTCCTTTCTGATATGTGCACGTCGCTTGATTCGATAAAAAAAAAAGAAAAAGAAGAAGAAAAAAAATCTCTCATTGTTCTCTAATTCCTGTGTTCTCTTCTCTCCTCCACTCTGCAGACACATGAGTTTCTTTGCATCCAAAGCGAGCCCAACCTCTGTGATCCTGGACCTGTGGGAGGCACAACATTTCCACAGCGGCAACATCAACCAGCTGGCCACGGTCATGGCTGACATTGGCAAACAGGAAGCCATGATATTCCTGGTCTCTGATGGCGAGTGCTAACCCAGAAAAGGGGGAGAGACTGGTGCAGAGGAAAAGTACAGAACACAACACACACATGAGGAAGAACAAAAAAAAAAATACAAAAAACACACAAAAAAAAAACAATAACCGCAGCAGGAATCGAAGATCAGAGCTGTCCCAGTGTCCCTCTTCTTCACTTTAGAAGATAAAAAGGGTTTATGTAGGATTGAGTCCCTATTTCCCATCAAAGAGTAAAAATCTTTAAATGTCAGACCAAATGAGGGGCCAAAAAAAAAAAAGAAGTGGAGTTTGGGTGTGTGGGGAAATGTATTCAAACGCTCAGTAGATAAAATACCCTTTATTTTCCATCAAAGATTGAAGTTAAATCAGCCCTGGTTCTACTGTAAGCATAACATGAAATGAACTTCACACCTTTATTTCTTTTTTCTTTTTCTTTTTTTTTGTTTAAATAGGCCACTTGTGGCTAATAAGGAGCAATATGCAAAAGGAATACTATTACTGATGGCCAATATTGCAAATTCTGCAAGTGTTCTTTTGAACTTTGATTCAAAAGTCATCACAGATTAAATATTAAGTAGAAGGAAGGTGACGAAAATGTGCCACTGATTTCAGGTTGAAGAGGAAAAAGGCGACATATGCAATTGGCAGGTTTGTTACATTAACACAACAACCCAGCGACGCTGTTCGTCATACATGTGATTATCTGTTCGGCTGGGCTTGTAGCACATCCTGGACTCGCAGGTTTAAAACAGATTGTACATCAGAGCCCCCTCAGAAGAAAGAAAGAAAAAAAAAAACCCAGTCTCATCTGGTTTGTGTGTTTTTTCCAGTCCAGCTGGTATCACTACTGTGAATGTAACATCTTGACATCTTGATTCAGTGAGACGCTTCGCAGCTTTTCCTGCTTCTAAATCGATATATGTGAGGTTTTGGGCTCTCTGGACATTTTTTATTTTTTTTTTAAGGGAAGAGTGAGTAATATCTTTACTAAAGTCATATTTCAGAAGCCATTTCTATTTAAAGCCTGTGATTTTGATCCATCAGGTTTATTTCGCGTCTCATATTACCCCAATCGTTCATTGTGGCGTTTTTCTGTTTCGGATCCCACAGCTAATGAAGGAGCCATAGGGCCGAAAGGCGTTCTAGCTGCATATATGTGAACACTGAATGTCATCAGAACTCATTTCTAATATGACATTTTCCCCTTGATTACATTGATTCCCTCGTACAACAACATCGCCCAAAGGGTTATTATCCCACATAAATAATGTAGTGCACTTTTCCCACTGAAAATCTGACAACAAATTCTTCAAAATCTTCTCGAGATTACTCATGTTAGAAGGGTAATTGTGCAGTTTTGTTTATTATTATTCATAAAGCAACGTTGGTGGGAATTCTATATTTGCTGTGTGGCAAAGAGTATTTCCACATCAGAGGAAAGACCCCGTTCTTCAGATAAAGTCAAGAGTGGCTTATTCATAATGTCTGCTCACAAAAAGACGCTTTGAAAGGATTTCTTTTTTTTTCTTGTTGTTGTTATTTCAAGCCAGGATGGCAAAAATGATGAAGTAGTTTCAAGCAAAAATTCATAAACTGCACCTGTTTATTTTTTTACAGAGTAATTTTCAAATCGGGCGACGGTTCTCTTTGGTCCTATTCAGTTTGTACAAGGTGTGAGCAATCCCAAACTAGCCATAGTTCTCTCTGTGTCTGCCTCAGGGTTGCATGTGAAGTTGTCTGTTCAAAGTTGTAAAGAAAGCCCCGTTCATTAAACCCCCCGTCTCATTCAAACAGCTAGGAAAGCCCATCCTGCAATCTCCAGTGGTTTCAACCTTTAAGAAATAAATGGAGCCTCTTTTATGATTGTCAGATATTTGGAATGTACGTTTCTGTTTCCTTGTAGTGGAGGAAAAGTGTGTCTTGTTTTCTTTTGATTGTTTTGTTTTCTTTTAAAAGTAGTTTTTATATGGCATCTCAGCACCTGTTGACTCATGCCCTTAAACACGCCTCCCCTCGATGAACACTGACACAACTCCTTTTGCTATTTTATATGGAGATGCCATGAAATAGAAATGTTTTTAAGAAACCCTGGAATCGATCCCCTTTCAGATAAAATGGTGATTCCACCTTAAATGAATCTTTTCATGTTGAAACGGATCATCGCCACATGTGATATGTAAATACTTTTTCTATACCAGCCGTGTGCTGTCACTTTGCATACTGTATATCAGCAGAATTGGTAACCAAAGTTTTCTGAATATCATTTGAGGCCACTACATCCTCATATTGTATCCATTAAAAATATTGTTTCGGCACCGTTTTTACTTGCAGCTAGTATAGAATAAGTCAGAGTTGCTGTCTCTTCTAAAGTGCGGACTTAAAGTCCAGATTACTTTCTCTCATTTCCTTGCATTTGTCTTTGAGGCAAGTTGATGCTGTTTGTTGAGCAGTAATGTGTGTCAGTTTCTTTTATCACTTTGTAAACAAATGTAAATTATATTTTAATATGAAGCCAAAAAAAGACACTTAACTGGCGCAGCATTTGTCAAGTCTAAACCGTGACGTGTTTGCCTATATACTGTTCTTTGGCGATCTAGCAGTGAAGACTATTTGCAGTGTTAAGGGTTTAGGGACTGTTTTACAGGAGGTTTCTATACATATTTTGTTCGTCCTTACTCTGCATAAGTCTCCCTGATTATTTCTATAACTGTAAGCATTTAAATACAAGCTGGAAGCAGTCACTGATGCTTAGTGAATCACTACACTGGGACTGTGTGGAGGCTAATCGGGAGGAGGAGGAGGAGGAGGAGGACATCAGTTCTTGGACACTGACGAGCCAGTGTTGACACAGCATGTTTAGATGAGCCATGACAGTTGTACAGTCAGACTGTGTGTGAAATTTTATCACCTCCGTCATTGTCTTGGATGTGTTGCCTAAGCACATTTCGGTAATGTAATTCACCAGCCGCCAGGATGTTCAGCATCTATCTTCACATCGAACTCGTCCGACAAATCTAACAATCCTGCAATTACTGTGTGTGTGCGTGTGATGAATAACGGTTTCCTTCATGATAAAAATCTGGGCCTGATAGTTCCGTGTAAGACTTGTGTCAGTAACATTCATGCTTTGTTCAAGGGTTTAAGCTCACCCATGTGTTATGGGGGGAAAAAAATGCTCCATCTCAGCACTGTACTTTATGTGTCACTCATTACTATTCAGTGTCAAGGATGTGCGTGTGTTTGAGCGAGTGTTGGACCGGGCGTGTGCGTATCTCCCCGTCACTCTGACTGAACTGTTTTCTTTTTGAACTAAGAACAATAGACTTCTGTACTTGTGAATGGTTTTTCTATTTCGTTCCTTGATTCAATGTTCCTTGCCTTTCTGCAAGTCAAAAATGCTGTATTTATTACATACCACAGCGCTTATGCAATTGTATAATCCTTCTATTGTTTTGATTTTTTGTTGTTTTTTTTCTTCTTCTTTTTTTTTTTTTTTGGTTTGTTTTTTAACCTTTTGTGTTCCTTATCGTTAATGTAAATTGTTGTCAAAACTTTTGTGGCAATGGAAAAACTTCTGCTAAGGGAGATTTTCTGTACTTTTTGGACAATGATATGGATTTGTGGGTAGAATTTTGGAAATTCGTTTCTAAGTGCTTTCAAGTATTTACTTGGCCTTATGTATATATATCTATCTATGACATTTCAGAAAGGTATGTATAGTAATTCAATCCGAAATTGTTGTAAATAAATTATATATTGTTAAATGAAGGACTGGTTCCTTTTACTTGGAAAAATTTAATTCTGTTGTCGACTTTAAGAACCATACATATAAAAAATACCAGACATGTTCACATCACTCAAAGTTGTTTGGTTGACGAGGGGATTGTTAAATGTAGAGCTGGAACCTTTTCCGCTTGTGACCCTTTAAAACTGTGTGTGCTTGCATACAGTTCAGCCAGAAAATCAGTGATAAATTATTAAAAAGTTGTTTTTTTCTGGAGCTTTCAACCAAATCCAACATCATTCTTCAGTTGAGCTAAAGACAGATAACATCTGCTGATAAATCTGGTCACCAAAGAAAGCCACTGAATAATGCTGGAAAGCTCCCAAAAAAGAGAGTAAAAGAAGTTTAGAAGAATTTATCACTGAAGTGTTCCCAACCTGAAGTATGGATCTCCATGCTGAGGAAGATTCAGTTTCTCATTTTATTCTATATGTTTAGTTCTGGGGCGCTTTAGTTAAAACTGTGCAGAAGTGAACAGTAAACCGAGAAAACCTGGATCACCTTGGAGCTGTTCAGATTCATCGTGTGTCTGCTTGATAGGCAGTTTCAATCTGCAAGTTGGGAATTACTTCATCAGTTACTGTAAAGACTGACAGGTACCCAGTCTGGCTCTCTCCAAGGGTTCAAATCAACCTTCCAGCACCTTTATAGCTCACTAATTAACACGTCAGACTTTGATTATTTATCTGATGCACAAATATAAAAATGACTGCGAGTTCAGTAGGCAGTACTTTGTTAACCCATTTCAAGTTTCTCAACATTTTTAGCAAATACCTTTCCATGAAATAAACTTATTTCAGTGTACTGATTGGCTAAATGGTTGCTGCAAACTTTCCTGCAAGCGCTTTGTAGCTCGTGAACAGATTGTAAAGGTTCGCTCAGGTCTCTGTTACAACACCAAAACAGTTTGGGTTAAAATCTATTAAAGTCTATCGCTCAGTTGTCAGGGAGCAGGTGTTGGTGAGAGTGAAGACGGTGAAGTCGATAGAAACTCCAGCAGATGGGTTCCTATCAAAAAAAA